ACTTAGCATACGTGCAATTTGGCGCTTAAGACGATTCCGTCCTCCTTCTCGACGGCGCAGTCGTCGTCCCTTTCGAATATGCCGAAGAGCACAGAGACGTGCCCTAGCTCCGGCCTGGCCATCATTCGGACCCAGAAATTCGTAATCACCGACCCGGGATTGAACCCGGGGGCCTGCCCAGAGACACGATCCTTACGGGACCCGAATCAAGTGCGACGAAACGCGCGTCATTTACGGGATTCCTCTATTCTCCGACAGAGAAGTCGTTCTTTCCTGCTTTAGGTCGTAAATTATTGCGTTAGACAACGTTGTTATTCTCGTGGCTATTTAAGGCTATATTTGATTTGTGGGAGATCAAGACGGTAGACACCTACACTTGATGTGTTATTAACACCTAAATAATAGTGTCCAAGTAACGGACTTGACTTATGACAGAAGCAAAAATAATTATAATAGAGTTAGATAGTTGAAAAAAATGAGATAGTCTATAAATTGTGTATTTATAAGTATAAGAATTTCTTGTGCGTGTGTGTGTTGTGTGTCACGTGTTATATATTGTAGAATAAAAAAAAACGGTAATTTATTTTCATCTAAATATAGTCTTTAAGGCTTCAGCTCGTGGCATTAATGCAACTTTGCGTGACAGAAAATGTCGAGCAAACACAATTTTATGCAAAAAACATGGAGTGAGAGAATTTGTCTAACCGGAAAGTTCGAGTTTATTATAGGTATTGGCTCCAAAATATTTGCATGAATCTGGATGGCATGTCTGTCTAGTCGTTGATTATAACCAGCATGTTCATAAGAGAAAAAAAAACAGATTTAAAGACTAAATAATGAGCCTCAAAATTCATTTCGATGTTACAATAAAAAATAGCGTATCAAAACACATTTCATTTTTGAGTTTTAATCTTTGAATGTTGAAAATAAAAATTCACATCTCTAGATATATTTATTACAGTTTTTTTATTACAACAAATATTTTGCAAATCGTTAAACTATTAATACTTTTGTCCATATTATTTACATGATAAAAATCACAGACATCTGCTATTGTACTCTGTTAGAAGATCCCGTTAGATTTGTGTTCTCGTTAAATTTTGAAAAAATTTGTCGATATTATTAAATATGAGAGACATTTTTAATTCTGTATTAATTCGGTCACCTTTTTCTTGTGATATAACTTGACAGATGTATTGCAAAATGTATTTTTTCCCCCGATGAGCTTGCAAAAGACTATTTAGAGTCATTCGCGTCTTCTTAGCTAACGGGTGGAGATCGGTCGCACATTCTCGCCATAACTCCACATAATAGCCAATATCTCACAAGAGTTGTACAAACGCGAATCGGTTACTAGTTACTACTTACGTGAGTTAACATGATTTATCGCTCAACGTTAGCCGCTTACCGAGCTTGGTGAGAAGAAGCGAGAAGAATGGAGACCAAGGGAAAGAAAGAAAGAGAAACAGCGAGAAAGAGAAACGAACGCGCAAGGAGGGATGAAGAGCGCAAATCTCTCTTGGGAGGTTTCACTGCAGCCAATTAAGGCCCTGTTTTAATCGTTCGCGCCTAATTGCAGACTCATTACTTTGTCTCTCGAGGGTAAATACGTCGAGCTAAGTACCCATGTCCAAATAAAGAATACGCGCACTCTTGAAATCATCAGGAGAAACGTAATATTTCGAGATAGAAAAACATTTTTAACATATGTAACATACATTCCCCAAAATAATTAAGAAATAAAAAAATTGTCCAGAAAATAGGCAAATTTTAAATGGCTGTAACTTTGTTTTGAAAAATGAGAATTTAAATTTTAACAAAGGATTTTAAAGCTTGAAATCTTTTTTTTCATTTTCTTCGATTGTGATATTTTTTACATACAGAAAACACAACGAAATTGAAAATGTTTTCTTACTTTGTAGACGTCTTTTCTCATACAGCAATTTTAGCCACTTTATGTAACTTTTTTTAAAGTTTAAATAAAAAGGAGAAAACTCGCGAATTTCTTCGTTATTTTCACCTATTTGTAAAGAGTTCACAAGTTTAAAAAAATTTATTCACTATATCATACTATAGAGTAAAGATTTAGCTTTAAGAATCCATTCTCAAAATTGCTGTACGATAATTTTTAATGGAGTTATAACCGTTTAAAGTGAAAATGACCATTTCTCTTCAATTTGCGATAACTTGATAAGGAAAGATCGAAATTTAAATTTTAAAAAACGATTTTGCAGGGAAAACTTTAGACTTTAAACGTAAAAATGTCAAAACATTTTTGCAAATCTTCTTGTGCATGCGACACATTTACAAAGTGAGAAGAAAATTTCAATTTTGTTATGTTCATCGTTTTCTGTAAGTAAGAAAATATCAAAATTGAAGAAAATGAAAAAAGCTGTGATCTTTTAAAAATAGAGATTTCAAGCTTTAAAATCCCTTTTTAAAATTTAAATTCTCATTTTTCGAAACAAAGTTACAGCTATTTAAAGTTTGCCTATTTTTGGACAATTTTTGATCTCTTATTTATTTTGAAGGGTGCATCTTTTTAAAAGTACTCGATTTTGGAATTCCAAAAATGAATTTTAAAATAAAGATTAAAACCGAAAATGTAGACATATAAAACAGAAAAAATAGTGTATCCAAAGGCGATAAATTTGCTTCTATATGACTTGCCCCTGTTGACAATTTGTTGCACATCTTCCATTTCATCCAAACATAACATCGGATGCTGAACTTTAGCATCAGACTCGATTGCCGGACCGTTTCTCGCATAGATTCGCCGTCAGTGATGCATCTGAAAATCGAAGGGCTTTCTGCTTCTCTTCTAAGCCCGGTCCTCTCACGAGATGGAACCGGTCGTTCTTAATAACCACCCTCGCAAGGCGCATGGCCTAAGGATCAACGGCGCGACCTGCAATCACGCCATAGACAACTCGCAGCGACTCGATCATTATCACGGCCAATAATCACCGGGAGACGTATTCCTCTAAGTGTTCTCCCTCCGTTAAAACGCACTTCGGACGCCGAACGCCGATCCGGTCCACCACCGGCGGCTTCTCGATCAGCAAGAGAGCGACTCCTCGTTCTCCACGATATTTGCCCGTCTCTTGGTCTCTCTTTAGCTCACTGTTATTTTCTCCGACCATCGGCGATAATCAAGGACCGCAGCCCGTCGCTGGATGGACGGCATCTCTAATCCGCGGCAATTACGCTGAGCGATTAAAAAGATTTAATTGTCCGACGCGCCACTCTAGGACGGAACGTTTCTTCGCCTTTCTTCGTGAGAAGGGCGGAGTGATCACCATGAAGTGGAGATAGAGCTCGCTAGGATTTTTCGTCGTCATTGTGACTCGACAAAGGATTTTTTATTATTATTATTATTACGGCGGAAGCGACGACAAAATCGGACGAGCGAAAAATTTATACCTAATTCGAAAGATGTTGGTGATGACTTTCGCGGTAACTTGATGAGGAGAAGGTAGACAAAGCTATAATAATGATAGCTTGCGATGGCAAGTAAAATCAATGACGAAGGATATGCAAAGATGCACTTACAAATCAAGAAATTAGTTCTACGAGGAGGCAATTATTCTGTATGATCAAAGAATTTAAGTGGTAGCTGCACAAGAGATCAAGCGCGCGCGCTTTTATATTACAACGATAACTGATGATGATAACTTAGCGACGCGAGTAGAGAGTAGAGAATTTATTTAGAGAAGTACTTAATTATGGAAACTCCACCGTCGAAGTAATATAATTAATTATGGAAACGGCATAACGATGTTTTAATTACATTTAATCATCTATCGTATCATCATATTTACTTATCCATTTAGCAACAAGTATGTTAAATAACAATAACGATCTTTTTTTTAGCTTTTTCATCCTTGGAATGGAGAAACATTCTATCTATGTCGAAATCGAATATTTATTCTTACAATCGAAAGATCGCTTTCCTTATGTTTTGGTAAAATTAGCTTATAATTGATAAATAGTCAAATGCATTCAATAATCACTCAAAAAAATATTTCGCTGATATATTTAGATGTTTAAATGTTTTTGTATCTGTTAAAACTGTTGTTTGTCACGTATAGAATTTATAGCAGGAATATATATTCTGTCTCTGTTATTTAGGCAAATTAAGTAAATTACATATGCAATATTACAATACTTGTCAATTACTTAGCTGTTTTAGTTAATTTTTTATACCTAGAAAATTTTTGCTGTACTTGCAATATCATTTTTTTGAGTGCGTGAATTTTAATTGAATATTTCATAATTATTATCATAATAATAATAGTTACTAAATACATTTAATTCGAATTTTGTTCGTAACTATTAAGGCAATTAAATAATTTAGCAGAAATATTAAATATTTATAATATTCACTATTAAATATTTAATTAATATTTGATAATTTAATCAATATGTTTAACAATAAAATTATATTAATTAAAATATTTAAAAATTACTGCATTTGTTGATTATATTTTTTATTTGTTTATTATATATTAAATAGTACAAATTTTATTTGTTCATTTTAGCAAATTATAATAAAATTAAATAAACTTTTTGAAAATAGTACGCTGTGTATTTTAATTTTAATATTTATCTGATAATATACAATAGTGTAAAATAATATAGAATTTATTATAAATTTAATGAGGCAAATATCACAAGTTATATATAATAAAAATATTAAATAATAATAAATATAGAAAACATTAATATATAAAAATAATTATAAATGTACACTTTTTATATATTATATTGTATTATATTATTAGAGCTTATATTATATACCACATAATATTAACATATTAATTTTTATTTATCATTAATATTTCTAATATATTTATAAATATTTATATATTTTTATAATAAATATTAGAGATATTAATTATATATTAAAATGCAATATAATATAAATATTTATTATTATATAAGTGGATGTAGATATATTATGTTGATTATTATGTAGAACATAATAATATATTAATAATATATTAACATTTATTATTATACTTTCTTCAAAGAGCAGAGGAAAAGATAATAGAGATTTTGTGATCAAGACTTATTGTTATGGTCTTCTCAATAAATAGTCATTCTGTCACTGAGCTTTTTCATGGCCTCATTCCCAATACTCCTCTTGTCTACATATTCTTTTGATTACTACAATTAATAATAAAAATAATAATAAATGCTAATTTATTAAATATAAATTTATATTAGATATAATATAAATTATTATTTTAATACCTATTTATATCATACCATTTATATTATACCATTAAATTACTCTAATATAAATTTTATTATTTATATTATATTATTAATTAGTATAATTTAAATTAATACTAAATAAAATTAATAATTTAATATAATTTATAATTAATAAATTAAAGCTATTGAAATTAATTATGTTAAACATAATATTAAAAAATTATATTAAATAAAAATTTAATTATTATAGATAAAAAAATAAAGAAAAATAAGATAGATAAGAAATTAACCGTGGATAAATAACACAAAATTAAAAATAAAATAATATAAATAGTAATAATCTCTAGCCAAAATATAAATAAATATGTACAAATTGTATAGTGCTATCTTTTCCATTGATTCAGATGATTGATCAGTCACGCTTGATTTGATCGAATTTTGAAAGTTTTTGAAGACAGTTCAACTGACTTTTGATTTGAGATAATCGTATTTTTATCTTACGTTCGACATCCAACTCTATTGGTTTTAAGTAGCTTTTTACGAATTGGCGTATCTAAAATAAATTATATTATTTCAATATTTTTTTCCGCGTGAGAATAAGTTGTTTTACATAATAAATAACAATCTTTTAAATAAAAATAAAGTTAATTAAAAACGACTAATAAAATTAAAGATAATTTAATTATAAAAATTTACCTTATAAAGTTGTTCTTCAGAGTATACATGATTAATAATATCAATTAATATTGCAACTGTACTGATTTCTCTAGATAGATATAAAATAGTACGTTTTCAATTAATATATATGAAAAAAATATATTACTAGCAGAATATATTTATGAAGAAAGATATATAATTACCTCGGTGCTATTGTCTCAAATTTCGATAATATAAAATCAAGTATTACGCTATTCTTCGCATATTTGGCAACAATGAAATGAAAACTGTCAATACGATCCTCGTCTTTTATTCTTCCATTATGATTTTCAGATATCATTAGCATATAATTCTTAATAATAGCAATATTTTCAGAGCAAGTAAGAAATTTTAAATATTTATTATCAGATTTTTTCATATATATATTAAATATTTTGTGCCAAGTATCATCGCTCAACATCACCAAACCATTACAATATGTCCATTCTTCCCACCACGGCAGAAGTCTATGAAAAAGAACATAAAAATGTATTATAAAATTTAGTTTTTTTATTTTATCTTCAAATCATTAAATAGTATATGAATCACGTCATATAAAAGATACAAAAATATTACTATCTTTCTATTTAAGAATCATATATGATAAGAAAAATTACATATTTATTCTAGGATTTATGAGATGTCGTTTTAATTTAGAAGCTGCTACTTGTTTGCAATTAGGTTCATCAAAAATGCATGCCCATTTTATAACTTCTTGTTTTAGACAATTAATAAGATAATCTTCATTAGATTCTTCATATCCAATATTCTCAAGAAGTCCGTTCAATATATTTTGCATTTTTTCCTAAAAATTATACAATTATTATCTTTTAGATTCTACAAATTAAAATTGAAAATTGAAAAATTTTAGTTATTCCAAAATGTATATATAGCATAGGTATAAGAAAAAATATGTTAAACATTGTTCTATGATTCCAAAGTTTATCGACTTTAGCATTACGTTGAATTAATTACTAATAAATTTGTAATTTAATAACGATTTAGTTACGAATAAAATATATATATAGGTTAATATTCAACGTACATTAATATTCAACGTACAAGAAATATAATATAAAATTAGCAATAATGAAAAATTTCCGTTTTTAAATTTTGCATCTTTTAACCAAATAAAATTATAAGAAAAAACTGAATTATTTTTTTATTTTATCTTTTTGGAGATTATATGTAAATATAATTTATATAAAATTAATGTATTTTATACGTAACAATTTAATACGGATTATACATATTATTTATGAAGTTTATTATTACTTTAATATGGTAAACTCTTATATCTGATAATGGTAAAACACTTGACATGTGCTCAAGAGCTTTGATCATAGGATACCATGCTATATAATCTCTCTCTTGAGATAGATAATTCATGAGTTTCCAAAATATAGAAGAATCAATTTGATTAGTCGTGAAGAAATAATATGCATCATCAATGATTTGTGCACGATTGAGAACATGTATGTTCGTATATTCCTTAGAGTTTAGATATTCCGCAATTTTGTTCCAGTTCTCATTTTCATAATTGACACGATAGTATCCTGTCATAAAGTATAAATAAATTTTATCATTATACATAATAATCAGAAATGCGACAGTTAAATCGACGATGCGATAATCAGAAATGCGACAGTCGAATCGACGTCGAATAGATGCCGAATTGATCGAATCGATATCGATTCGACGTCTTTTCGATTGATCATTTTTGATTGAGAAAACATTTGAAAGATCAGAAGTTTTGTATAAAGAAAATTACAAGAATTTTTTTAAATTTATAGTAGATTCGTAACAAGAAGTTATTTTTTAGTTAATTGTAAACTATATGGTTAATTATAGAATTATTTTATATTTAGTATTGTGTAATATTTTGTAGAATAAAACTGCATAAGAAATTATATACTTAAATTGATTTTAGTTACACAAGTAATGACTAGATCATGCATAGTGACATGTATATTTAGTGGAATTTAATTTATTGTTAATTTTTAAAAAATGGCAATAATGCCGTATAATTCATATAACATTTTACTCAACATTACACAATTATTATACATATTTACATTTACTGTAATATATAATTATGTAATATACATATTGAATGTACTAGTAATACTTCGTATTTAAAGTAATATATTTTTACGTTTGATATGTATAATATATAATTACATATGTATATGTATAGTATTTATTAAATACTTTAATAATATGTATATATTTTTAAAAAATAACGCATAATAGTTTTTAATGTATATTAATACAACAGAAATATAAATAAAACAATAGAATAAAATCAAATTTTAATTATGTGGAATAAAACATTTAAGAGCATAATGGATTAATATTTACCAGCTTGTTGTAAATTGACTATAATCCATTCATCTTCATTAAAATTGGATACATGCAAGGCTAAATTTTGCGACGTAAATTTCAACCATATGACATTATGAAGTGAAATATTAAAATCAAAATTGTTCTGTGTAGTATAAGTTATAGGTATCCACAAATTACTATCAATTGAATCGAAATTTTCTAGCGATATAACTGTATATGTAGCTTTAAAATACTGTGCTATTTTCAATATAGGATAATGTTTTAGTTTCATCCAACCATCCATTCTTTCTGTTAAGTTATATTTGTTGTTAATCTTTTCATCAAGAGCATCTTGCATAGCGATCCAAAATTGATTAGGTTTTATCTGATTAGCAGACGCACTAAATTTATTAAATTTAATATTATTAGAAATTAGTACACACACATACACTGTAATAAATTTTATTAGAAAAGATAAATTTAGTACTTATACATGCTTGTGTCAACACATATCTATATAAGTTTAATTGTTATAATAGCCAAATATATAGCGCATATTTATTGCGCAGCATATTTATACATAAGTATTTAATTTTCTATGCATGTGTGTTGGCACATATTTATTAATTATTATATTTATTAAAATAATAATACTTACATTTTGTTTAAATACGTTAGGGTACCATTTTGAAACACCTTATTAGTAAGTAGATATTGCAGCATACGTAATATAGAAGATGCTACGAATTATATTACACAATATATTTAAATAATGTTTGGAATAAATTTATGTAATAAGACGTTCATGAATTCGTGAACTTATAGAGAAAAATTAAATTTTTAAAAACTACATATATACATATGCACGCACATATTATCTCTTCCTGTTTTTCTCTCTTTCTCTCTGCCTTTTTGTGCGTGTATATATATATATATATATGGGGGGACACCCTGTATATATGTATATACAATAATATACATTACATAAAATTTTTTTTTCACATTTTTCTAGTAAACATGAATTAAACATTAAACAAAATTTATTGTTAGCTTTTAAATTTTTAAATATCACGTTCCAGACTTTATGGAGAATAATCGCGCATGCATTTAAATAGTTTAATATATCTATTCAATCTTACCTTTGTGATAACGAAGAGAAGGAGGAAGTGAATGATTTCAGACAATTGTAATTTTGTAAGAGGCTTTATAGAAATAGGAATTTAAACGAAAAGAGTCGTGTTGATCTTGCACTACGAACAAGTCCATCATTCGACAAAATTTGAAGTTCTAAAAACAGAAATTTTAATGTGCGAAATAAATGTTTAAACAAATACTTGATCAAAAGAAATTGTTGGATATTAGTAATATATATTAGTAAAGCTTGTTATTTTATTTAAAAATTTTGTTATGGTTTATAAGAATAAGTTATATAATAAAAACATAATAAATTATGTCTGAAATAATATGTTATGTGTATATATAATTTAGATTTAATATTGAAATATTTTGAACAAGAAAAAAAGAGAGAAAAAATAAATGTGTATTCTTTTTTTATATTATTTTAATTTTTAATACTATTTTATGCTATGCACCATTTTCTGATAGAGAATTTTTTTATGATTAAAATTTTATAAGAAGTTAAAAATTCGAACAATTTGCTTTCTAACTTTGTCATACAAAAGATTTAAAAATCTATTTTATATTATATTATAATAACTATAATAGATATTTTATTTATAATTATTTAGGACGTAGATAAACTAGTGCTAAGAATATATTGACTAACCTCATCAATGATAAAAAGTTCTAAGAACCTAGAAAATCCTTCATTTAACCACGGTAATAAATTATCGACAGATTCGTGTGCTATATTATGTGCTATTAAGCGGATTATTTTCATTATGTTATGCGTCATGCCTAATAACGGTGGTTCTTTATTGATAACATTTGTTTCTCTGAAAATAATTAATGCATAATTAATGCACATTATTAGACAATCTATTTTATGTATTTAAATATATAATTAATTTTTTAAAATATTAATTATATTGGAGACATAAGTATTAGTTTGATCGTAAATTCCAAATAATTTAAACAAGCCGATTCTTATTTTTATAAATGTAAGAGAGAAAAAAGTATATTTATGATAAACTTTAATTAATAATAAATGAATTTTTAAAATAAAATACAAGATATGTTATGGTTTTTATTACAGCACACACAGCACACACACACACATACACACACACACACACACAAAATATATATGTATATACATATATGTAAGTATATGTATTATCGATTAAAATTAATGAGCAAGCATAAAAAATATATATTCGAATTTTGAAATGTAAAGTAAAATAATTTTGTTCTTTCGCAGTTTAATTTTGATTTTATTATACATTTATAAATTACCTGTAAAGAACGAGACCCCAAGTTTCTAAAGCTTCTTCCGGAAAATCCGGGATTGCAACATAATCCACTTTTGGAGACATTTTCAAAGTTATCATGGACCATTTATCTTCCAAAATCATGTAAAATAATAAGTAAAAAGATATATATATGATGCATCTATTATGTTTTCTCTATGCCATATTTTAATCTTGTTATTATCAGAGATACTTATAAAATTGATCACTGCTATCGCTATGTAATTAGGAGACATTTCAGGACTCGTATTAAATTGTGTCCACATCATGTCGTTTTCAACTTTCTGTACTTTTGCAACGGCATATTTGACAAAGCTGTGTATTTTGTCGGATGCTTTACGGAAATGTTAAATTTAGCCTTTAGTTCTGGTTTGTTCCAACATGGAAATAATTGCTGTGCCCCAATGTTTTAAGATATGTTGCGATCAACCACCTGTTACATTTTGATAAGAAATATAATAAAAGATATTAAAAATAACACATTTTTATGTTTATATTATTATAAATATTAGAGAAGTATTATTAGAGATTGTTTAAATACAATTTATAAAAATAGTGCTTGAAACATAATATTTAAATATAGATATTTTACTTATTATATCGTTGACATTTTAATTCGTTCGCATTATGTAAAGAAATAAAATTCATATGTAACAAAAATGCAAATATAAAAAAGATTTTGCTTATCATTTAGAAGCGATTCAAGTTATGTAATTGTAAGTGATAACATTCGATTAAGTGTTACACAATAAATAGTTTAAAACTTTTAAGCACACACATGTGACGATTTATAAAGAATAATAATAAATAATATATATGTATATATATAAGTATCAAAATATATATATTCTCTTTAATATTTTAACAATTACTTACACTTTCTCTCCCTTTATATTGTTGTAAGAAGTTCTAAAGAGACCTTTAGTATTATTAGTTATTTTACCGAAGAATTCTATGTTTAAGGTGTAATTTCCGGGTATTAGTTGATTAGTAAAATCAATTGTAATAATGTTTTTCTCATGATCATATAAATATTCCGTTGGTTTATAGACCAATTGTTTGTTCTTTCTAGACTGTACATTTTTATTAATTAATGTGGTTTCGGTAATAGCTAAATTCACTGAGTGCAATATTATATATTGCGTTGCATTATTAATCGCAATGTTGATGTTTGATTCACCGCGGTATAAACCTTCTTCAATATTTAATATCAACTTGATCTTATAATCCACCGGTTTTATATTATCCGATAAATAATCAATTGTAGTAGACACATTATTTTCCAAATTTTTATATTCTGTAGAAAGAGCCGCCACGGCGATGATTATGCCAAGATTCAATAACAATTTTAGAAATGCCATGTCAATTTTTGCTCTAAACATCTGCAAAATTATTTTCTTTGTTAGAAGAAGACAAATATAAATAAAATATTATATATTTAATATAACAATCATATAATTATTATATTAAAGACAAATAACGGTTAAGAGTGATTATGTGTATAATTCTGATATTTTTGTAGAAATCTTGATATTGATTATGTTATTCTATTGCAATAAAAATATTTGAAGCATATTACTGTTGCGATAAAAGTATTTCATTTAAATCAAAATGTAATGTTTGATTAGAAAGCGTTCGATTATTTTGAATCATAAGTTGAATTAGATGGATGTATATAATAAAAATCGATATATATAACGTGATTTAAATATTAACAGATGCTTTGTTTGTATTTTTTATGATATACAAATTTTTATTAGCGACGAAAATTGATATTTGTTGTTTGTTCGCTCAGTATGTCCATCTCAATGTAACTTTGGAGAATATTTATAATAACAAACAAAACATATGAGGTAAAGCATGTACTAAAGCATATATAATGTATTGTATAAAATTTACTACTGCAATAAATAAATATGTTAACTTTAAACCCTAAAGAACTGTTTACATTAGTTTTCCGAATTTATATTTTTGATATATAGATAATATCATGCATACTTGAAACTTAGATACTTCGAACTGTGTGCTCATTGTACTTGTACAATGTAGAATCATTTTAAATTGCGTTCTATACCATTTTTTCAACTTAAAAAAGAATAATATATATTAACTTGCTTCATTTCTAATAACTTACCTTGTATACTAAAAATTAAGAAATGATTTTTGTAACACTTATAAATACTAGCTGCATTATAACAGCAACTAACGTATTATTTCCACAACCTTTTAATATCGAAGATGTACCTATATACGTCTTATCACTTTGAGAGGTCACCGAAAACTAACTTCGATGCCGGTAACCGAAATAATAAATACATGTAATATTATATATAAACAACTTCTACAATATTGTATACACAGATATATTGTATATACAGATATATTATATGTATAGCTTTATCATCGATATATTATATAGCTTTATCATCGATATATTATATAGCTTTTGCAAAATTAATACAAAATTTTCAAAATTATTAAATATTTCTATTTGTTAGTGTAATAATAAGCTATAAATTTTTGTAAGTTATAAATCTTTTAGAATTTTAAATTAAATAACATTTTTTTTAGTTTAAAACAATATTCAAGTTATTAAAACTTTGAGTGCGAATTTCTTAAATTACAGTGATTTGTAGTTCTGCGGTTTATGGTAAAGCTGGTAAACTCAATATTCTCTATCAAAATAGAACCAATTTCTTCTTTCAGAAGAGTATGAATATAATTATCTCATTATTATTAGGATAAATTACATCAAAGAGGTAGTGTTATCAGAAACTTTTTTTATTAGACATTTTTTTATTATACCCAATACATGATAAATTGTACAGGCAGCATATTTATTATACATCCATTTATTAAAAATGTTAACATATTATAAGTTTACTATACCTATTAAACAATAATATAAATATTATAAATATTGATATATGCATAAAAATAAACATTAATATTGTATTAATATTAAAATTTAAAAAATATCACAATTTAATATTAATATTATATATTAATGCTATAAATCTCTGTTCTTAACATTAATAATAATAATTTTTATTATTTATAAGAAATTAATAATTAATGTTAACCTTAATTATAACATGTTAATTATATAATAAATTTTGTTTGTTTTTAGTATTAACAACTAAAAATAATATTAAAAAGAAAAAAAATGTAATAGAAAAGTAATGGAATTATTAATAATAGATGGATAAAATATAATATTAAAAATATATAAATAATATAAAAATTTAATAATAAAGTTAAATTAAATTAATTTCTAAACATAAAATAAATGCCTACAAAAATGTATAAGATTATCAGTTTCTATTGATTTAGTTAATTAGTTGATTTGTAAGTTAAACTTAATTTGTAAGTATTTGCAGATAGTTCATTTGATCCTTGATTTCGGATAAACGTTTCTCAATTTTGCGTTCAACATCCGAAATCAGCTCTTTTGCAAAATTTTTCGCGAATTTGCGTATCTAAAAAAAATTAATTTAAACATTTTTTATGAATAGTTAATTTATTCTCTTACATTATAAGAGTTTCATTTTATTTGAACATTTTCGAATATCTGACGCGTCATTATATATATATATATATATATATATATATATATATATTGTATATGAAAACAGATAAAATAGAAATAGTATAATTATAAATAAGTATAGTTGAAAAATACTAATTATTAAGAATAAAGATTTTATTTATTATTAATTTGCAAAATTTACCGCATCGAGGTGTTCCTCAGAATACACATGATTAATAATCTCAATTAGTGCTGCAGCTTTACTGATTTCTCTACAGATAAAAATAGCAAATTTATAATTAATAAAAAACTTTTATGATATTACTAACAGAATTTATTTATGAAGAAAGATATAAATACTTTGGCATTTTCTCAAAATGTGATGAAATAAAATCAAGCATGCTGTTATTCTTTGTATGCTTAGAAATAATGGAATGAAAACTGTGGAGACGGTCCTTGTCTGTTATTTTTTTTCCATTATATTTTCAGATATCATCAGTTTAATATAGTTTTGAATGATATTAATATTTTCAGAGCAAGACAAAAATTTTAAATATTTATCATTAGACTCTTTTGTGTGTATCTTAAAAACATTGTTCCAAGTAGTATCGCCCGACATCGCTAAACCATTACAATATGTCCATTCTTCCCACCACGGCAAAAGTCTACGATATTGAGAAAAAAAAATAAAAAATTATAAAAATTTAGTTTACTTATCTTGATCAAATATCACATAAATCATGTTGCATGAAAGATGTAATAGAAAAATGGTATTTTCTTTATTTAAGAATTTAAAAAAAATTACTTATTTATTGTTCGATTTTCGAGATGCTGTTGCAATTTAGAAGTTGCTGTTTGTTGGCAGTTAGGATTACCGAGAACACATGACCATTTTGCTGCTTCTTGTCTTAGATAGTTAGTAAAATAATGGTCCGTAATATTTTCGTCGTATCCTATATTCTGAAGAAGCTCATCCAGTATATTTCGTATTTTTGTCTACAAAAATTATTAAATAATATAAAATATGAATTTAATATGTATATAATTATTACACACATATATAGTCTCATTTATGACATTAATTATTACCTTGAGATTATAAACTCTTCTATCTGGTAATGGAAAAACACTCGACATATACTCAATAGCTTTGATCATAGGATACCATGCTATATAATCTTTATCTTGCGGTAGGTAATTCGCGAGTTTCCAAAATATAGAAGAATCGATTTGACCGGTCGTTAAGAAATGATATGCATCATCGATGATTTGTGCTCGATTGAGAACATGTATGTTCGTATATTCCATAGAGTTTAGATATTTTGCAATTTTGTTCCAGTTCTCAGTATCATAATTGACACGATAGTACCCTGTTATATAATAAATATAAATAAATTTTATTATTATACATTATTATAACAGAATATTTAAAAGATCAGAATTTTTTTAGCGTATTAAGCAGAAAATTACATTGCATTTTAGTATAAAAAATGATAAGAAATTTAAGAATTAAGTATATTTAATATATTTAATGTAATATATCATATATTTAAAGTGATATATTATTATGTTTATTTAATTATAACACATTATTTTAAATTTACATTAGTTAGAAGTAAAAGAGATATATGAATAAAAATATAGAATAAAATAAAATTTCAATTACATAAAATAAACATAGAAGTATAATAAATTTATTGATTAATATTTACCAGCTTGTTGTAAATTGATTATAATCCAATCATTCATTTCAAAATATTTGAGTTCATCAATACATAATATTTTTTGCGACGTAGAGAACCACATGACATCACGATATGAAGTCTTATCAAAATCGGGATTTTTCTGTGTAGTATAAGTTATAGGTATCCATAAATTATATTTGTTACTATCAACTGAATCAAAATTTTCTAACGATATATTTATGCAACCAGCATAATTGGGTATTATTTTTAATATAGGATAATTTTTATGATTCATCCAACCATTCATTTTTTCTGTTAAATTACATTTGTTTTCTTTATCCATTCATTAAGAGTTTTTTCCATAGATTGCCAGAAGTCTTTGGGTTTCGTAAAGTGTCTATAAAAAAAATAAACTATATAAATTTGTAAAATAATATTATTACAATATTGTAATAAATTGAATTAGGAAAGAAAGTTAATAGTTATATATATTTAAACATATAACATATATATGTACGTTATATAAATGCATATATATAAAGAATATATAAGAAATGTATTACACATTAACTCTTTGTCCACATACACACATCCAAAATAACTTGCTTTAAACTTGTTTTAAATTTGTTTTAAACAAAAAAAAAATACAAATATTGGGTTTTGATTTTGAAATACGCGTAATAATAATTTATTGTAAAAAAATTACGTAAAAAAATTTCAACATTATCTCGTTTTTTAATAAAATATTTATAATAAAATTTGGATGAATTTTAAGAATAAAGATATTACAGAGCAAATGTAATTAAAACTAATATTATAGGATAAATATGCTTGATAATTTATGTGTAATACATACTGAAATAAATAATTTTACTTACTTTAATTTTAAATACATACTCATACCCTTTTGGAACACATTTTCGGTAAGTAAATGTTGCAACATCCGCAATATAGGAATTACTACAATTCACATTAAATGATGTTATTAAATAAGCTTAACTATAAATTTATTATAATATTCATAAGTTTATTAACTAATTGATTTTGCATAGACAAACTAAATTAAATTAATTAGAAAAGTGTTTTTTAACATTAATAATGTATAACTGATGTAGTAAAAATGCTTTTTTCTTATTTTGTTCTTTTGCAAACTTAATATTTATATTTTAAAATTTATAGAATTTATTGTTTAATTATATTCAGTTAGCCTTACCATTATTGTAACGAAAAGAAGGAATTGAATTAATTTCAAGCAGCTTGCTGGTTTGTAAGAAATTTCTATTAAAATAAAAGTTTAATCGGAGAGATTCATGTTGATTTTCGACTACGAGTAAATCCATTCTCCGAGAATTTTTGTACATCTAAAGACAAAATTTTATATTTTTTAAATAAAATAAACCTTTATATCAAAGATTTTAATATAATAAATAAATATTTAATCAAGAGATAACTCGCATTAGCAATATCTTTTTGAAGCAAATGCAAATTATGTCTAAAAATTATTTCGAAATTAAATATTTGTTGTAAGATTTTAATAAAGAAGCAGAAAAAATGAAAAGAATAATTGCATTCTTTTTCTACTAACAATAAGTACTTTAACTTTAAACATACATACTATTTTTTAATAGATATTTTTTTTTTAGAAAGTATTAAACAAATCAATATTTTTTTTTTATATTTTAAAATTATATTTGGAAATTTTTTATAAAAATTTAAAAAGTTAAATAATCAACACTTTGATCTTACCAAAACAAAAACGTAAAAAACATATATAAAATAAAAAAAACATAAATTTTTTTATTTCATAACAATTGCAACAAGCATTCTTTTAACTGCCTAAGTGAATTAGCACTAAGAATATAATAAATATTACCTTATCGTAAGTATATGCGAGAGCGAAACTTCCAAATTCCTCCTTTAAGTAAGATGGAATATCAATGAGATATTCATTTATCATGTTACGTGCTATTAAGTACTCCATCTTTATTCTGCTCGTAATGTCTACGTTGTTTGGTTCATAAAAAATATCTGCTTCTCTAAAAATTATTAAAATCGGTTAAAAATTCCCAAAAATTTTGGTAAAACATTATAATATACATTATATTGTATAATATAATAAACATAAAATTTAAATTCTAACGCGATTAATTTTATTAGATTTATTAGTTTCATTAATCGCTTGAAAAAGTATAGATTATTTAAATAAGTCAGCATTTGCTTTTCTATATTTTAGAGATTTATGTGATAAGTTTGCTAGATGTATGTGATTTATAATTAATGTAAACATATGTCATATTTAAATATTATTATATTTGAAAATTTTAAAATGTAAAATGTAAAAATAGCTTTTCGACTCTTTATATAAAGAAAAAAAAGAGAAAAAAGGAAAAGGGGGATAGAGAAAATTTTATACTTTTCTATTTATTACCTGTAAACTGCAAGTCCCCAAGTTGCCATAACTTTTTCCGGGAAATCCGGATTGCAATATAATCTACTTTTGGAATTATACTCAAATCTGACATATTCCAATTATGTTGCAAATTGAAAGTGAAAGAGATAAAGTTGTAATATGTAAATAATTTATATATTATTTTCTCTCTAAACCATAATTTGGAATAATGAGAATTAGGTGTACCAATGTCATCCCAAAGCTTAGTTTTTCTTTTATAACCGATTATCGCAATCGCTACAAGATGAGGAGACATTATAGGAGTGCTTTTAAAGTGTGTCCATTTCATGCCATTTTCAACGTTATATTCGTTTCGTATCGGCATATTCGACAAAGCCGTGTACTTTTGAGGGTACTTTACGGCAATCGTAAATTTGGCCTCTAATTTCGGTTCGTCCCAACATGGAAATAAATATCGTGCTCCAGTTTTCTGTAGATATGTTGCGAATAACCATCTGTCACAATTTGATGAGAACAATTTTTTAAATAATAAAATTGCGATTATTATTAGGACAAAGATATTTCGATTGGAGATCGCGTATGTTTTATGAATATTTAAATAATCTAATATTAATCTTATAAGAAAACATCTCTTTTCATATATGAAAATATTTGTTTAAATATATATAATTTAAAATAAATGCAATAATTAAAGCGCTAAATAAATGCAAATATAAATGCTTAAAATAAATTCAATGATAAATCACTATAAATAGTGATTACAAATATAAAAGTGTTCTAAATATTTAAACACATATACTAACATTGTATTTCCTTCATCATTTTTGTAGGAAGTTCTAAAGAGACCTTTGGTATTATTAGTTGCTTTACCAAGGAATTCTATGCTCAAATTATAATTTCCTGGTAATATTTTATCGTTAAAATAAATCATAAAAATATTTGTCTCATGAGTATATGAATATTGTATTGGTTTATAAGCCGATTTTTTAATATTATTCTTGGAGTCTTGTAACTCATCTTTGTTAATTACTAATGTAGCTTCGATAACAACCAGATTTACTAAATGCAGTTCTATATGTTGTGTTTCTCCATAAATATCGATATTGATGTTTGATTCACCGCGGTATATATCTTCTTCGATAGGTAATATCAATTCAATGTTATAATAATTCGGTTTTATATTATCTGATAAAGGATATTTAATTGCGGTTTGTGCCTCATCTGTCCAAATTTCATCTGAGAAAGCCACCGCAGCAATAATTATACAAAGGCTTATTAATAATTTTAGGATTGCCATGCCAATATTGATTAAGGTATCTGCAAAATTATATTCTCTGTTAGAAAAAGACAAATACAAATAAAATGCAGCATGTATATGCTTTTATTGCGTAATTATTAGAAAAAAGGAAAGATCAATTACATATAGCAATTATATTATACAATCAATCTTGATATACTATGCGTGTATGTGTGTGTGTGTGTGTGTTGTATACACACGCATGTAATTTTTATACTGTGCTATAATAAAATTATCTTAAAGATTATAATACAATTTTTTATTTTCATCACGCATTATAATGTAATTTATCACATGTTGCTTGCTCTTCGCGTTTTATCAAGGAGAATATAACTAAACAAACAATTGAAAATAAACCAGAAATTTAAATTTAAATTTTCTTAGATATTTTATCTTACACAAATAAATCGAACGCAGTTCAAATAACTAACAAATATTCTGTACTTATTTCTTATGACATTATACATTTTTCTTAATAATACAAATTGACATTTTTTATTTGTAATTGTTTGTTTGCTCAATAAAATCAGTTTAATATAATTTTGAATAATTTTGAAGAAACATTTATTATAACTACTTATTATAGGAAAAAATGTGGATAATGCAAAACGTTTCTAAACTTGCTAATAAATATATATATACGTAATTTTTTGAAAAAATAGAATTGTGGAAATAGAACTATGTGCCTATCATATTCGCGTTTTGGAACAATTAAAATTATATTGTGCACATATTTCTTTTATATTAAAAGAAAAAAATGTATTTCTAATATATTTTATTTCTAATAACTCACCTTGTACCTCACCCTGTTAAAATTGTCTGCCAATCTAGAAAAAGTTTCTCGTAACAATTAGCAGTAATTAACGTCCCCACAACCTTTTACTGTCGCGAATATATTTGTACGATTGCCATGTCACTACCTCGAAAGGTTATCGAACACTGACAAGGATACCGGTAACATGTGACTTATAAACATGTAGTATTATGTAAACACAGCTTTTGTGATTGTACTTATTCTTATAGATAATATCACAATTTCAATAACATTATTTCAAAATTTAGAGCAAAAGGTTTTTAGAACCAATAACAACTGAATTTAAAAAGTTAATTAAAAATTGTATTAAATATACCTATATGAAAAGTACAGCAAAATATATAAACATATACATGTATATATATTTATATTATTAAAAATACATATACCTATATACAATGTTATAAACATTTATAGGTACTATTGTTTTAAAATCAAATACATTTCTGATTATTTTTTTCTCTTTCTCTCTCTTTTTTATCTAATTATATTCATTATATTAAAATGAAAGTACAATTTGTTTACAACAAGGCTTGTGCAGATCACATGAATGATGTAAAATAAATTACATTTAAAAATATGTATATTCTATGCGGATCTTGAGAAAAACAAACTGAACGATGTCAGCGAGAATTTCGTTCTCCAAAGAGAGATTAATAAGACACGATCATAAAGATCTGAAAAATACATGTGTGATCATCAATAATTCTCTAGTTTCGAGATGTGTAACAAAGCTAGGCTTTTTTTTCATTTTGCAAAAATTTCAAGTATGAAATTAATTTTAAATTCTAATGAAATCTCTTTTGGCAATAGGGCGTTCGAGACTGACATTCCAATCGGGCGATATATCGCACAACGGCGAACACGTGGCGCCTGAAAGCAACAGGTTGTCGAACGGAGCCGAGAGACTGTCCGGCTGGCTGGTCGCGGCTGGTCGATTTGACTGCCGGTAGTCCTAGCAAGGCCGGTCAAGACGACGCTAGAAAGTCTTACACGACATGTAGCAGCGACGGTATGCGATTGTTCGGTACGATTGTGTCTTATTTAGATGCCGACCGCATTCTCGCAAGCGACCGACTGGATCGGACCGATCCGGTTGCTGGAATTATCGGAAGTATGACCTCATTCACCGCTCGATTGACTCGCGACGTTTATGCTTCACGTGATATGGACCCGCTTGATTGGTTATGAGAGGGCGTAGTGTTTCCAAAAATTATCATCGTGGATACTTGAAAAAATACATAATCTGCAAGATCGTTTGACGTCAAAATTGTCAGTCTACGACCCTATATGCATTAGAAAAACCAAGAAACGTGGATCTATATAATTTTATATAAAACAAAAATATAATCTAAAAAGTTGCAGAGAAATTCCTTCATAATGATCACTTTTTATTTGACTTTATATTGGCGATAATGAAGCATTAACCAAGTTACCGAATGCTCACACAATGGTGATATTGACATGTTATGTTTCGCACATAAATCTTTGTCGAGGGTTGCATGTGCATAAGAATACATGCATATTCGCCAATCGCGAATCGCGCGACTTATCTTACTATTCTATCACGGCATCTAAATATGTTATAAATTTTGCGGTGAAATATTAAGAGATGTTTTGAATGTGGCCTAAATTTTTAACATCTAAGTGTTCTATTGGCAGAACTATATAGAGAATAACAAAAAGAAAAAAATAACGCTGTTTTGATAATTCCTACTTTTGATAACATATTACAGCTATTATATATACATATTTTAAAAGATTTTCTAACTACTGTTATGTCAGATGTTTATTATTAAATTTAATGTTAATGACAATAAGATTAAAATATTTAAAAATATCAGATTTTATATTTAAATATATATATTATTTATATTTAACATGTAATATTTTAAAATTATATTTTGTAAATGGATGTTAAACATATTCTTAGACTTTCTTTTAAAATAATATATTGGAGTTCAAAGAGCACAATCTTTTTAAAAATTAATAACAGAAGACTAAACATTTTTTTTTTACTAATTATTTTTAATTCGTACTCTCTATAAAATTTCTATTTAATATTAAAGCCATGTTATTAATGTAAAATTTTAATCAATAAATCCGTAGAGAATAAGTACATTTCCCATTTCTTCAGTAGGTAACCCATAGAATTATATGTACATTCCATTGCATCATTCGACTTACGTCATTCTTATGGTAAAGATTATAATCAAACACATAAATAAACGAATAACCATATGTATATGTGCGCCACGTATATTCATATTTATTTACATTGCATAATAGTTACAACTTTCTCGATACGCGAATTTAGATATTATTAGAGATTTGCATTGGTCATCGATGTAATAGCCAGTTGCATTGACGTGCTTTTTCTAATCCGCGACTAAGCATGACGTATTACAGCATGTCGCGAAACGATCTGCAGGCTGATGGAGCGTTTCTATTTTCAGGCGGCAAATGGTATGCGTG